AGCTCGCATCGTCATCTACCTTATAACATAAAGGGCCAAAAGTCTTCTTACTCGTTAAATCTAGTCTAGCTTTTCATTTGCAAAATACAGAGCTTAGAGCTCATCATAGTTTTATTTTTCCAACTCAAACTTCACATGAACAGGTTGATCACGAAGAAGCAGACACGATCTTCTGAAACTCAATCTCAGCTTCTTGCGACTCTATCAAAATCTTCAGCACACACCTGCATATGAGCAATCTTCTTTTCTGAAGCATTCTTCTTCCCTTCCAAGTCTGTTTTTTGGTTCTGCAGCTTGAGAATCTTGTCCTCAACATCCCTCAGATCTTCTCTAACTTTCTGCACTTTTCTGACTTCCTCTGTCTTCTCTTTCTCGATTTCTTTTAGTTTATCCTCTATACTCACGTTTTTATCAATGAGAGAGACCAGCATGTTGAGTCCCTCTAGTGTGCTTTTGGGATTTTGAAGTTGCAGATGTCTTACTCTCTCTAATAAATTAGAGAAATTCACCATCTCACCCACAGCTAACCCTTCGCGGCTTTTATCAAGCAATGGCATGAAGTGAGGACTCTTCTTTGCTGTCTTGAAGATCTCCATTGATTCAAGCGTTTTCCAAATGGGAGAGCACTTCACAAAAGGCAGAACCATTGCTGTATCCTCCTGACTTGCTGGGATTTCATTAGGAGCTGAATTCTTAATAGCATTGGGGGATGTTGTTCCATGAGGGGCTAACTCTGGTCAATGCAAAACCCAAATTAAGTAAACAACTTTCTGTTCAAAAGGGATAAATCTACATAAGCCCATGTAATGGAGAAAAATATACAAGTGTCTTACTCGAGTTATCAGAATCATTAGATGAGTTTCCTCCATGGATCCAAGCAGAGAGTGGCTGATCGTAATCATTGTCGGCACTTGTATCAGCAATCAAAGCCTCTGCTGAACCATTGTAGCAAGCCTCACGATAAGTTACTCAATCATCGGATTAAGATTCAGTAAAAAAAAAAAAAAAAAACAACTTATAGACATACCAGTCTCTTTAAGGTTTGAGTCATGCTTCCTTTTATGACTGTTTCCTTTGTTGCTATGCTCTTCACACGTCTGAATAAAAATCATTAGACCACAAAAGCAGAACCATTCCCCCCAAAGATAAAAAAAGTGAGACTCTAAACCATGAAATTAACTCTTACCTTCTCTCCAGTTTGCACACTCATTGGCTGAAGGGTCTTCTTAGGGTTTGTCATTATTACTTGAGTTTCAGCTTCTGGTTCTTTTTCTGGAAACAAAGAAAATGTAGATCAATTTTCATGATGCAAGAGAATCTATTAGAATTTATTAGAATCTATTAGAATTTGGGAGCTAAATAAGCTCACACTCAATTTTCTGGATATGCAAGAGAATCTATTAGAATTTTGGAGCTAAATAAGCTCACACTCAGTTACTATACAATCAATTTCAAGAAGTTCTCGATTACCTATTGGTATGACTTGAGTGGTTGTGACTGGAGTAGCAGCACCAATCAGCGCACCACCAGCCATTGGATATCCAGATTCCTGAGCCAACAGTGATTTCTTTACCTACACGTCATTAGTAGTAAACAAAATGGAGTTCTTTTAACAATCAAAAAGAGGAGATCCCTGTTGTTCAAGCAGCCAAAAAGAGGGGTTAATATCTGTAACTCACAGCTAAAGTTTCATGGAGTTGTGTTTCACCCTCAATGGTTTCTGCGTGAACCGGAGATTTTCTGATATGCTTGCCAGGAGCACTTTCTCCTCCAGCAGCAGGAGTGACTGGTTGCTTAGTACCAGCAGCACTAGAGCGGATTACCTTCAGCTTTTTGGGTCTGCTCAACAAATTGATTTCACTTAGTAGCCTCTTTTTTTGGACGTCTGAAGGAGTTTCCTTTACAAGCTTCTTCTGGAAAATAGTAAAATAACATTTATCACTCAAATAACTAAAATTGGAAACAATGTGAATTGACAAAAAGGAAATAATACCATAACTCCTTGATGCCAAACACCGTCTTCCCACACCTTTGAAGGCCTAGGTCAGAGTGCTTGAACACACACTCCTCTTTTGTGGCCACAAAACTCACTTTGTAGCTTTTATCAGTAAGTAATTCCCTCACCAGGCATGGACGCCATGCGGAATCAGCAAACGCGTCAACACGTTCCATCAAGCCGTACTCTTTGACAGAATTTGGAGGAGGCACAGGCCTGACTTTGCATACATCAACCGTGAAGGTTGGGATCACTTCATCAGCGTTGAAAGTCAAAGACTTGTAACAACTCTTGACAATGATTTCTTTCTTCTTATTATCACCACCCACTTCAACCTCCTTGATGACAATTGCAGGGACCCAAACAGATTCCAAATTACTAATCTCACGACTCACTTCCACCGTGGTTCCAGAGCTGAACAAGGACTTACTCAGTTCCTTCCATTTCCAAAAGACAAAAACATAATAAAGTTCAAAACTTTGACATGCAAAATCAAAAACAAAAAGTGAAACTTTAGCAAAGGAAGAGAATACGTTAGAGCAAATACAAAGGAGCAAATACTGAGATAAACCTTGTTATTTTGCTTGGATTTTCATTATCAATTTTTTCTTTCCATTCTTTATATTGGTGTCTCTTTATAAACGTGGTTGATATAAACTTGTTATTATGTTTCTTGTTCATGTTCAGAATATGCATTAGACGCATGTCTTGTATACAAACATACAAACGAAACTGGTGTTATTAGTTATTATATTATTGTGTAAAGTGACACTTAATGCTATCTTGTTGTTGCAGAAGTGAGTTGTTGTGTTGCTGTGCCTCAACGCTGTCGTAACTCTCGTTGTTGTACACGACAGAGGAGCTGTTATTGACGAAGAAGATCTGCTTATACTGAGGCGTTCTCATTATTTGGAGACCTGTGAAATGTTGATGTTTAAGTTTTCAGCCTTTTTCACCAAAGACTTAGCTTTGTCCGACAGGACAGAGGAGTGTAAGATTAGTTTGCCAGAATAACTTAACTTCTCATCGTACCGAGACTCGAATGTAAAACGGCTTTACTTTTCTTTCGAAACGAAAGACTTGTTGTCGATTTTCTTCTTTGTGGTGGAGGTAGATGATAAAGAAATGTGTCTTTCATACGAACTTATTGAATATTAATTATATTCAAATAACAGAGCATCACAAATCAAAAAGAAACACCATCAAATGAAACTAGAAAATGGTATCTTGTCAAACTTTTTTGTGCTTGTTTTGATAAATTCTTAAGTTTTTTTGTCAATGTATACGTTATTAAAAATGAGTTCAAAATTTCTTGGACATCAAAACACTTCAGAAGAAGGGAAAAGTATATGTTGTTGATTTACAATAATCCACTTATTTTGATTTTGAAATCTATAGCATTGATAATGAAATCTGTTTGTTTGATTTTAAAATCAACGGATTGGCCAATAATTTCTAAATCCAAATATTTTTCTAAATCCACTCAAATACTAAAATCAATAACTCCCACTCAGTATTTGCTCCTTTGTATTTTACTCTTAAAAGTAATTATAAATCCGTACAAGTCAAAATAAAAAAATCAAATCTTCAAACAAATCTTTATTATTGAATAACACCTGATTCTAACGTATTTTTTTAAATCATAGAACCAATAACAACAAACTTGAAATTGGATTTTAAAATGATAGAACCAATAACACTTGATTTGGTTTAAATTTTCAAATCCATTAAAATACATAAACCAATAACACCCTCTGAGATAAACCTTGTTATTTTGCTTGGATTTTCATTATCAATTTTTTCTTTCCATTCTTTATATTGGTGTCTCTTTATAAACGTGGTTGATATAAACTTGTTATTATGTTTCTTGTTCATGTTCAGAATATGCATTAGGCGCATGTCTTGTATACAAACATACAAACGAAACTGGTGTTATTAGTTATCATATTATTGTGTAAAGTGACACTTAATGCTATCTTGTTGTTGCAGAAGTGAGTTGTTGTGTTGCTGTGCCTCAACTCCGTCGTAACTCTCGTTGTTGTACACGACAGAGGAGCTGTTATTGACGAAGAAGATCTGCTTATACTGAGGCGTTCTCATTATTTGGAGACCTGTGAAATGTTGATGTTTAGGTTTCCAGCCTTTTTCACCAAAGACTTAGCTTTGTCCGACAGGACAGAGGAGTGTAAGATTAGTTTGCCAGAAAAACTTAACTTCTCATCGTACCGAGACTCGAATGTAAAACGGCTTTACTTTTTTTGGATACCTTTGCGTCATCACAAACAATGTTCTTCCGAAACAAAAGACTTGTTGTCGATTTGCTTCTTTGTGGTGGAGGTAGATGATAAAGAAATATGTCTTGCATACGAACATACTGAATATTAATTATATTCAAATAACAGAGCATCACAAATCAAAAAGAAACACCATCAAATGAAACTAGAAAATTGTATCTTGTCAAAGTTTTTTGTGCTTGTTTTGATAAATTCTTAGGTTTTTTTGTCAATGTATACGTTATTAAAAATGAGTTCAAAATTTCTTGGACATCAAAACACTTCAGAAGAAGGGAAAAGTATATGTTGTTGATTTACAATAATCCACTTATTTTGATTTTGAAATCTATATCATTGATAATGAAATCTGTTTGTTTGATTTTAAAATCAACGGATTGGCCAATAATTTCTAAATCCAAATATTTTTCTAAATCCACTCAAATACTAAAATCAATAACTCCCACTTAGAGTTAAACGTGCACAAATTTAATTTAATCAAAGATTTTTCTTTTTGTAAATAATAAATTTGTACAGATTTAATTTAACGAATACAATTGCTTTGGTTTAAATTTATCAATCCATTAAATTCGTGTTTTTCTACGTGATGGCTGGTACGGTAGGTTCTTGTGTTTTACACTGGTCTCCTACACTCCATAAAACTTGGAATCAATAGTGACAAATCTATTCTTGGGACAATTCCAATTAGTAATAGTGCATCGAGACAACATGTTTTAGAGTTCAGATGCTTTCAATTTCCTGGGCCGCCTATGAGCTGGTGAAGGGAAGTGTGCCTGTCTTCCAGGACCCTGTAAGATTCACAAAATATATTGTTACTGAGATCTTAGTGTTATATATATACAATGCTGAGAAAGAGCAGGCTCTGATCTGCACCACCTTGAGCTTTTGTTCCTTCTTGATTGGTCTTTCAGCTGAAATTCCTAAACACAAACACACACAAATTGCAAGTTAGAGATGGTTGAGAAGTAGTCGTAGTAGTAGATACAATTTTGAAACAGAGAAGATAAAAGGAAATGTTCCTCCAAAACTGAATGGCTCACATGCGAAAACACCATCCTGATCAAATACAAAGGGATCAGATATATACATATATCCACATGAAGAGTGAAACTGCAGAGTAAGAATTGGCGATTCAGGTAATGATGCTGACCTTTGGAGTATCTGGCATTGCGGCATATGACCCTTCACGGTATAATGAACCTTCTGATTCTTTATACTGTAGCTGAAATTACAACCATAAATAAAAGGAAAGGAAGTGGCTGTATATTTTATAGACACTTTTATATAGCTTTACCTGCTTCTAAAGATTCAGTAGTGTTAGAATTTCTTTTCGTAATTCAAGATGCTCATCACATACAGTTTTTGTGGGAACCTTTGGCTTTAAATTAACCTGTTAACATAAAAACTCTATATACTCAAGAATGCATTCTGCATAAACTCAAAAGCAGCTCCGATAAACTCATAAAACTAGCCTCTATCCAAACCAGAATCCCCATGAGTAGTAGAACCATAGAAGCTAGCTTCAGTGAGAGTACCCTTTATAAGGTATTAGTTAAGTCTCAATCCTCAGTCAATGATAATGATACAAAGAAAAATAGAAAGAGTGAAACAGAGCAAGAAGCAAAAACAAACCCCAAGATCTTGCAGAGTCTGCTCAACACGCTTGATTGTTCGAAGACCAACAGCAGAGCTTGCAGCTTGGACCATTTGTTCAAGTCCATACGTTCTCAAGTACACATGAAGCTGGAAAATTTGTCATATTTACCAAAAGCAGATTATTGGAGACCCAAATAAAAAAAAAAGGAACGAGGAAGAGAGACACTCACCATTCGCAGAGAAGCAAGGGTAGAGGCATAGTCTGCCATAGTTAGTGTTGATGGCGCCACAGAAGTTGCAGGAAGTTGAGAATTGGAAGATGTAGATACACTACACCTTGGACCTCCATCAGCTTTATCAAGACCAATATTCTCATTCCCAGACACATCGGGATCTGCCCCACGCTGTACAGCCAGAAAGACCAATCTTTATAGAGACGAGATGATGATGAAGACTGATTTCTAATATGCGTCCAAGGTAAAAGGTTATCTTCAATCGTGGAAAAAATTTCATATATTGTTATTTAGTTAGTATGAGTGAGTATAATAATTTTAAGATAACACTTACACGTGCAGCTAAACGCATCTCTGTGATTCTTTTAGCCTCAGCAAGAATCTGTAGTTATGAAAAACGGGTAAGGGAAAGCGAAGAACTATTTTATATTGTCCCGTAGCATATGTGGTCAAAAGTAAGAAGAAATACCTCAGCATCTTTCTTCTCCTCGTGTCTACTCTGGGACAGGACCATTTAAAATGCACGTTTGCGCTCTCTATCGCGTGTGATATCATGTCTCCTGTTATGCCAATTATTGCAAAACAGATTTTTAGAGATAATAATCTGTACAAGTATATATTGCTCAAATAACTACAAGTATATGAACATAACAATTCTTCTAAGTTAGGTATGAAGATATATAAAAGATGAAACTGACCTTCATCAGAGGATGGTTTGCAACATGTGGTGGAGACTGAGCTCTAGCACGCAGCAGGGCCCGAGTTACTACAAAAGAAAGAGAGTTCTCTCAGTGCCTCGTATTTTCTAACAAACCCTGGTGCAACACGAAATAGAAACAAAGATTAAAACAAATGATGGGAAGTGAAGGGATAATGGTTAAGACATAACACTATAGTAACGATCTTTCAGTTCCTCTACAGTCCGTGGTAATGAAAAGCGATCAGTAATGAAAGTGAAAAGGAGATCAAACCTTTCAAACAGTTCAAACAACTGATATGTGTCTTCCTTGGTCTACACCTACAAGTTGGGAGCACAATCAAGTCAACATTAACCAAAGAAAGAAAGCTCTTGGTTGAGGAGTGAGTCACGTCACTTACATGATCCGTTAAATAATTCTCATATTCATCGTCCTTGTACTTAAAGATATCAACTGACTGCATTTTCTCAACAACAACAAAAAGGTAAAAGAGACTGTAATAGAAACTCAAACGAGACTGTAATAGAAACTCATCAAGGAGACCTATATAAAAATAAATAAATACCTTGTTATATATGGCAAAGGAATAATCACCTGTTGGTGGAACATTATTTACCACTCTAACCTGTAAAGATATATATAAAATCCAATAGGACAAAACACATGGGGATTAGAAACAAGGAAATGATAAAGCTTTTCTGTGATAAGATAGGGAACTTACCCAATGGTACAGCACCAAATCATCTTTCCTAGCAGAACTTTTAATGGGAAGCCATTGCCAAGCAACCTGAGAAGGAAAGAAAGAAGGGTTGTTTACTTACCATATTAACAGTATCCTCTAAAAAAGAAGAAGATAAAGTCCTTAAAAAAAATATGACCTTGTCATCAAGAGGTCGGTAACATCAATTGAAGGCATAAGTGGTGCAACGCCGCCTGTAAGCGCATAAACCTGCAATTCAACGAATATTAACAGCTCAATCGATTCCAGGGCTTGCTTGTTGCGACTCGTTACCTTGAGAGAAATGCCATCGGGTCGGCCTAAAGAGAGTGGAGTCTTCGGCAAGCCCAGAATGTCCTTGGCGTCCGTACCACCCATTCCGATTTGGGTTAACAGTTCAATCCACCAACACTACGATCTTCGATTCGATTCACAAGTTAGGGTTTCCAATTTTGCGGAGGACGAGGAATTCACAAGTTAGGGCTTCCAATTTCGATGAAGATTGGGGGTTTTGACTTTTGAGCGCCAACTCAATTCTTGAACTTTTGGTCTCACTTTATGGTCCTTCGTAACAAACGGTTCCGTTTCTTAAGTCTACCCACTTCGGCTTATGTTTTTTTAGCCTATATATATGTAGTAAAGTTTTTCTTAAACCTTTTACAGAGCGATTGAAAATAGTTACATGTATACAATTAGTTCCAATTATATTTTTATTTTTTTCTGAGAAAAAGTTATTTCCAAATATTCTTGAAAGAAAACTCATATCATTTACATATTATGTTGACAGAAAACATAGTTTTCCAATATATATGAAACTAAGAAACACACAATTTTATATACAGGTTTACTGACCAAAATGCTAAAGTTACCTAAAAGGAGAATCTAGAAGGTTTGTTCAACGTATTGCCCAAGAAGTCCAGTTCAAAAGAGCGACACGCGAGTCTCGGTGAGAAAGGACTCTCCCAGACACGATTCCCAAGACATCTTAGCGCTATTCTCAACGGTCAATAAACTGAAAACGACACATCAAGAAGCTACCAAGTTTGGAAAGAAACCGCGGGATTTTACCAAGCACCAACTGTGAAGCCCTAATCTTTTTCCGTAAGAAGCATCCTCCACGGAAACTTTTCAAATCTCAAACTGCAAGCAAAAACCATTCACCAGATCTTGCAAGCTCCTCCCAGTTGCTGATACCCTTCTCATGTCTGCTTAGCAACAATCTACAGCTCCATTTCTTCCTACAAACACAAGTTCAAGTCATGGCACACCGCTTTACTAAGGAGGAAAAAGGAAAGGGGCCAATCCAAGCAAGAGAGGAACCACTCATCAAGCGTATCAAAGCCCCGAATGTGGATAACTCAGCCATAATCAAAGATAATGCTTTAACGCTCATCGGTAGAGTAACTAACCCAAAGGAGCAAAGAATCTACGCGCTATTACCTGCACTACCTCGTAAATGGCACATCCAAGGTCGAGCTACTGGATCTGATCTTGGAAACAGCTGCTTCCAATTTAGGTTCGATAGAGAAGAAGATCTTCAGAGAGTGCTTGACAATAGACCGTACCAGTATAACTACTGGATGGTCATATTACAGAGATGGGAGCCGGTCATCTCCCTGACTTTCCCCTCCCAGATCCCGTTCTGGATCCGTATTAAGGGTCTCCCTCTTCACTTCTGGTTGGATGACATGGTCTGTTACAAAGGGAAGGCTCTAGGAACACTCCTGGACCATGAACTGACAAAGAAAACGACAAGAATCAAAGTCTTAGTCGATGGTTTACAACCGCTAACAAAAAACTCGATAGTAGAGTTTGATTCAGGGGAGGAAAGTCTAATTCACCTGGAGTACGAAAGACTGGAAAATCACTGTGATACTTGCAACTCCCTGTCGCATCTGAAGAAAGATTGCTCACAGCTGGAAGAAAGCAAACTCGAAGCCACTGCAACAACAGAGAAAGAGCCGAATCTGGAGGTTAAACCATATTAGCACCGCAAAATCTCAGAACAAGATAGGAGAATGCACACTTTGTCTCTCAACAACTCCACAAAGACACCAGAAAGCCCTAGAAATAACAAAGCAGACTCAGGATACAAAAGAGGGCAAGAAAATTACCAAGAGAGACTGGATAGACACGGCAACCCGTTTGGAAATCGAGTCTCTACCAAACAGACAAGATTCCCTCCACCCCCTCCCCCAAATTTGACAAGAGCAGGAAGAGCAGGGAATGGTACCTGGAGAAAGCTCCCTGCTGAACAAAAATCAAATGAGATGGAATACAAATCCCCATCATTCACCAGGATAAGAGAAACAAGAGAAAGGGGAAGTGGAATCAACCGACCGTTGTTCCTGCAAAGGGAGACCAGAGAGTGGAGAATAAAAAATCCACAACAACTACGGAGCGAACACTCACAACAAAATACAACGCCGTATCAAACTGAAGAAGACATAAGGAAGGACTTGGATGAAACAACTTTACGATATGAGAATCACCCAGATCCAACCGAAGCAGCGGCTAGGAGACAAAGAGTTCTTGCTACAGATATCAACGGGCAAACAGAGGAGACTGCGTCCTACATCATGAGAGCCAACGGTATCGCACCTGAAAATGTAAAACACAATCACCAAAGCTCTAAACCAGACAAGTCAAATACAAGGGAGAAATTGTTCCAGGAAGTACAAAATGCGACACTACAATACCTGAGTACTACTGACCCGGTAGAAGCAGTAGCAAGACGACAAAGAGTCCTAATAGGAGAAGCGGATGGTCAAACTGATGAGGTAGTTAATGCACTATTGGCTACAAATGGGGACTACAGAAGATCCTTATCTCCATGGGAGCGAGGGATCCAACAAGAAAGCCCTCCAGGAATGGATTTTGAACTAGCCATGCAAGCTGTAAGTAGCACTGAATGCCCCAACCTGTGGCTCAACAAAGGGAGGAACAGCTCCATGAAGAAACTCCCACCCAAAGGAAAAGAATCGGGAGACAGTAATCCCAATACTCTGCCTCCACGCTCAAGCGAACGTCAAGGGGATAGGATAAACCCTAATCCACCACCACACCAAGGTACTCCGAGTGAAAGACTTGAAAATCAAGACCATACTCCACGAATCAAAGACCAGACAGAGGAGTGTGTTCCTGCAAAACTTAAGTCGATCATCATTAGCCCACAAGAGAAAGAAGGACACCCACAGGAAAATACACAAAGGGAGCAAGAAGCACCTGTAGCAGAGGAAACACTCCAGGAATTCCAAAATAGGATCAAAAGGAGAACTACGAGAACAACAAAAAGAAGACCAGTAAGAGCCAGTCCTAATGTTCTTAAAGGAACAAGCTCAAAAAAGAGGAAGATTTCTCAAATACAAAGATCACCAGCATTAGGAGGGGAAAACTCAAAAGGGAACAGAAACACATCCTTACCCTCGGAAGGAGCAGAAGCAATCAGAGCTGGAACTTCTAAAATTCCTACGACATCAAGCTCAAGAGCTGCGCAACCAAGGAAGGAGTACCGGAACACAGCGGCCCAAAGGAATCCCCCTTTTCAGCTTATCCCAGCAACAAACAAGATGAAACAGGATTTTTGGTTTCCTCCAACTCCGATTCCTAATGAACTCCCATAACAGTTCAGCGGCTCCGGGAGTTCCACAAGAAGAATTCACCGGACATAATTTTCCTCATGGAGACAAAAAAAAACATGGAGGTCATAGCTAAATCCCTCAACTGGCTGAACCTGGACAATCATTTTGAAGTTCCCCCCCCCATAGCCCTGGAGGAGGAGGCTTAATCCTAACTTGGAAAAAAAGACATCGAAGTATCAATCTATACGTCCTCCAACAACTTTATTGATACTGAGATAACATACAAAGGGAAGTCTTTTCAGAGTACCTTCGTCTACGGTGAGCCCGATCATACAAAAAGATACCCAGTGTGGAATCAAATTACCAACCTCCACACAAACGGGGAGAGCCCTTGGTTCCTAACGGGAGACTTTAACGAAATCATAGATAATGGAGAAAAGAGTGGAGGAATTGTAAGGCCTGAAGGGACTTTCTGCGCTTTCAGAACTTTCCTATCACAAAACGATCTCTTTGACATCAAACACCAAGGAAACTTCTATTCTGAGAGGAATTAGAAATTCACATGTAGTCCTCTGCAGGTTGGACTGTGCAATGTGTAATAGCGGATGGGCAGAGCTATATCCATCATGCAGAAGTCACTATCTTAAGTACGAAGGGTCGGATCACCGTCCCCTCTTGACGTACCTGGACACAACTCAGAGAAAAGGAAATAAAATCTTTAGATACGATAGACGCCTTAAAGATAACCAAGAGGTCACACAAATCTTCAAGGATACTTAGAATAGTGCACCGTACTTACATGTCGAGGAGAGACTCTCTCTCTATGTCGCCATGCAATCTGCAAGTGGAGCAAAGTTTTTTATGAGAACAGTAGACAAGTCTTAGAGAGCTTAAAGGAGCAGCTAGAAGAGGCAATGATGGATCCTGAAATCAACGAGGACAGAAATTATCAACTGAACATGATTTTACTCCAAAATTATAAGAAAGAAGAAGAATTTTGGAAACAGAGGAGTAGACAGCTGTGGTTAACTCTCGGTGATTCTAACACATCCTATTTCCACCCGTCAACAAAGGCAAGACAAGCAAGAAATAGACTTACTGTCATGGAAGATGATGAGGGCCTGGCACACTACCAAGAGGAGAAAATAACCTCAGTAATTTGTAACTTCTACAACAATTTCTTCAAATCATCGGGACAATGGATCCAACACGGTCAAGGAAGCCATCAAACCCTGCATAACATCGGAGATTAATGAGAGGCTGATAAGAAAACCATCAGCTACTGAAGTTAATGAGGCCACCTTTGCAATACACCCAGATAAAGTTCTGGGTCCCGACGGATTTTCTGCCAGTTTCTTTCAAGCAAACTGGGAGGTAGTGGGACCAAAGCTTTTTCGACACAGGAGTACTCCGATCCTCGCAAAACGAAACACATGTCAGATTAATCCCAAAACACACAGGCGCCAAAACAGTAGGGGAATACAGACCAATAGCACTATGCAATGTGTTTTTTAAAATCATCTCGAAAATGCTAGCCTTGAGACTTAAACCGGTGCTAGAAGGGGTCATTTCAGAAAACCAGTCAGCTTTCACAGCAGGAAGGGCTATCTCAGACAACGTACTCATAACACATGAAGTCCTACACTATCTAAAGACATCGCAAGCTCAAGTGAGATGTTCAATGGCAGTAAAAACAGACATGTCCAAGGCTTATGATAGGGTGGAGTGGAACTTTCTAGAACAAGTTATGCAACGTATGGGATTCCATGCGATTTGGATCAATTGGATAGTGCAATGCATCTCAACGGTCTCATATTCCTATCTTATCAATGATACCGCAAAAGGATCAGTTAGGCCACAAAGGGGTATAAGACAGGGAGACCCTTTATCCCCATACTTATTTATCCTATGTGGAGAGGTTCTTTCAGGATTGTGTACTAAAGCGAGTAAAGAAGGTACTTTACGTGGGATTAAGGTGGCCAGAAATGCTCCAGAAGTAAATCATCTGCTATTCGCAGATGATACAATGTTCTTTTGCCAAGCTACAGAGGAAAACTGCATCTCACTGACGAACATTCTCCGGCAATATGAACAAGCATCTGGTCAGATGATAAACAAGGAAAAATCTTCTGTAACTTTCTCTACAAAAACACCAGAAGAGAAAAAAGCTCTTGTCAAAAACCTTTTGGACATATCAAAAGAAGGAGGCTCAGGGAAGTACCTCGGACTTCCAGAACATTTTGGCAGGAAGAAACGTGACCTTTTCACGTCTTTAGTTGACAAGATCAGACAACGAGCTTCAACCAGATCAACGAGATTCCTCTCAAAAGCGGGTAAACTCACTATGCTAAAATCTGTCTTGACAGCTATTCCAACATACTCTATCTCCGTTTTCGAGCTCCCGACCAGCCTCTGTAAGCGCATACAATCATTACTGACGCGGTTCTGGTGGGACGACTCCGCTGACAAAAAGAAAATGTGCTGGGTTAGTTGGGATAAAATGTCAAAACCAAAAGCAGGAGGAGGCCTAGGCTTCAGAGATATCCAACTGTTCCATCAAGCCCTATTAGCAAAACAAGCATGGAGAATTCTAACGAAGCCAGATTGCCTACTAGCAAGAATCATGTTAGGTAAATATTGTCATAAACAAGCATTTTTGAAAGCCGAAGCACCATCAGTTTGTTCACACGGATGGAGAAGCATTATACACGGTCTAAATCTACTCAAAGAGTGTATTGGAAAAGCTATAGGCAATGGCAAACTACAAAAGTATGGCAAGACACTTGGATATCTCTAACGGATCCTCTAAAGCCTTTTGGCCCTGTCCCAGAAGCTCAGCTAGATTTAATAGTGTCGGATCTGTTAACTGACGAAATGCAATGGAACACAAAAAGGGTTCACGAGATACTCCCTCATCTGGCTGAGCAGGTTCTTAGTATCCAACCTAGCAAAGTGGGAGGGGAAGACAAATTCATTTGGACTCCAACAACGTCAGGAATCTACACCACCAAATCAGGCTACGCAACAGCCTCCCTGTCAGGACAAAGGCTCATGGAAAGGACAACAGACACTTTTGAATGGATCCGCGACGTGTGGTCCATTACGTGTTCTCCTAAGCTGAAAGTTTTCTTATGGTCCATTATCCAGAACGCACTGCCCCTTGGCGAAAACCTGCAAAACAGAGGACTCCACAATCAAACACAATGCAAAAGATGTAATGAATGTGAATCAGCAATGCACATCTTTTTTTATTGCCCTTTTGCTAAAGAGGTGTGGGACAGAGTACCACTACTGAAAAGAGTCTCCTTCCCTACGATTACGGATTTCAAAGAGGTATCGCGGGTGTTCAGGAAAGTTACCTGTCTACCCCCCAACGGAGTCTCAGGAGCTATCCTCCCTTGGATATTATGGGCGCTATGGACTGCAAGGAATACGCTACTCTTCGAAAATCGCCTAATCCCGCAGATGGATGTGGCAACAAAAGGGTTAAAGTTAGCACGGGAATGGTGTTTTTCTCAAGGAAGTTCGAAATCCCCAGTAAATGTACCTGGACGTCTAGGAATGGTACCAGCGCACCAAACCATGACGGAGATCCCTACATGAAAATCGGATGCGGCATGGGATAAGACCTCAAACAAAGCGGGCCTTGCGTGGATTATCTCAGACTCTACAGACAGCATCAAGAACCAGGGATCGGCACCACAGGATTTCATCAAGTCACCACTGATCGCAGAAGCTCTTGCGCTCAGACTTGGAATCATCGCAGCAGCGAATCTTGGTCTTCCAAAGATCAAAATCCTCTCTGACAACCAAACGCTCATCAGAGCTATTAACAACGACGCACAGATCAAAGAGATCTATGGAATTCTTCAAGATATCCGCCAAATCTCCACTGTTTTCGTCGATATCTCTTTTGTTTTTCTTCCTCGCTCTAAAAATCTGCAAGCCGATTGTTTGGCAAAAGGTACCCTAAAGGGATTTTTAGATCATGTGGGCTAGACCTTTACGAATTTAGACCGGAGACCTTTCCTTTAATTTAATATATGCAGTTGACAAAAAAAAAAGAAAAAAAAAAGAAGGTTTGTTCAACCATAGTTGACCAGTACTAGAAAGGATTAAATCATATTATTTCATAAAGCTCCTTTTTTGGAAATCAAATAAGAATATCTCTTCTCCTCCTCTCATTGTTTCTTGCTGAAGAGGAACTCTTTTCTTTCTCTTTCTCATCAAAACCATGTTATCAACGGATCATAATGCCACATGTACAAATTCACTCTTGGCACTAGTCAATCAAGACTTACCAAAACTAGATTCTGTTGTCTAATTCCCCTTTTTATTTTCTCTCTTGTTTCAACATTCAACGATGGTGGTTAAGACTATACACACACACTGAACCAAGCGCACACACAAACGCACGTATATATGTTTTCGTGTGTGTGTCTTTGCACTTAAAAATGATTAGATACGTAAGTAAAAGCTAACCAAAGCATCGTACGACGTCGGAGACATATGGCGTCGATCATGATGTTCTTTAGAGCGCTCATGAGTTGCCATCTTACACCTAAAGAGGAGCCAGAGACAGCAGTAGAACTTTACAGAAATGTCGCCGGCGACGAGAACACGACGAAGAGAAGTATTTTGGTCGTTGACACTTCGCATGGCGGCAATAATCACGAGTTTACCATCGAAACCACGTGTGGGATCAACGATACGGATGAAAGGTTCTATTGGATTATCGTCAAGAATCACTTGTTGTTGTAAGTTTGTGTTGGGAATGTCCTAAAATCATTTGTACTTACTCTTGTTAAAGTCGTAACGTCGAGATTTGACAATCGTATAATATTAGGTGGTTATAATGTTTTGCTAGAAACCGCTTATAATCTATGAATTAAGAATTCATTGCTAATATTATATGATCCTACAGGGTTACACACCTAAGCAAATTGGATCACTTATATATAGGGTTTGGGAATAATATATATATATGATATATATATATGTATCGTATACATAAGATGTATATACATAAAGTCATAATTATTATCTCTTAGTGTAAGAGATGTTACGTGTGTATGAGTGGGCTTTATAGCCCATTAAACTAATGAATTAGGTTAATACTTTACCGTGATTCATTATAAAAGTGCATATGTTGACAATTATACTTACGATTGATCAAGACGGCAAACCCTAAAAATATAAGAGACAAAGCGTTTGTCAACCTTTGGAGATTTGATCTCGACGGCACTAGCATCCCGTTTCGATCCAGTTTGTGTGCGTGTGGATACCAGTAGAGGCACGACGTTTGGAGTGTTTGAAATCTCGACTTGTTTTGTTTATCTTTCCGCTGCAAAATAACCAGGTATATCTGAAACCCTAAGATCTAGATTTATTTCAGTATTGGCATGAAATTCTAGGCAAATAGAATTCATAAGTTGATTTATAAATCGTTATAAACCGCTATGAATTCCTGCAGTGGTATCAGAGCCTACTTGTGTAATATTGATTTGAATCTAGTATAATAGATATATATGATATATTTGTTAAAATTAATATAGCAATTTTGAAATAATTATAATTTGATTATAATCAGTCGCTATATAAATTTGACATTCGATTGAAAGTGTTTCATCGCCTCCGCATGCATATAATTTAAAAGTCATCAGTAGTTTCATCGAAATTCTTGGTGACGTATTTTTTTTTAAATAAAAATTATATGTATCATGGAATCATGTGATCGCACCTAAAGCTGTTTTTTTTTAAATCGTTTATTTGACGATGTGTGTTATTGTAACACAATCGTATGCTATGTAACCTTTTAAACCGGTTAAACCAGTTTTCTAGTTTATTTGGTCAGTGTGATTGATTTGATTTGATCGTTTCAATCTATTTGTTTTAATCTCTAATATGATTGGATATTAAAATAAATTAACCTTAATTAATAAATAAACTAATATTTTAATTTGATTAAGATTAGTTAAATTATTTATAATTCAATTAAATTACATATTGGATATGTATTAGTTATATTTATCTGTTATATTTGATATAAATTTTAAATATAAACTAAAATTGAATTAAAATTTGTTCCTCAATTAATTTCCAGTATTTTAATGTCTACCCAATTTTATCAACCATCAAGGCTCGTTTCGTTGTAAGATGGGCTTGCCAAAGCAAGGTGTTTGCAATTACATGAGTGAGGTGGATAGTAACGGTTACCATATGAAATAAGATTGGTTTACTTGACTAGGCTATCAAAACGGTTTTGGGCTTAGAGACATAGGTTGGATAAGACATAAGATGTCGTCCAACAACCAAGAATTATATTGGATATAATTAGCAAAGTGTTGCTTACCTAAATAACTAAAATTCAGGCGATGAGCCAAAGCTCACTTGGATTTTAGTGAAATATGGATCTTGGCTTATTATATTCATTTGAGGAAATT